CTGAAAGTTTTGTATTTTAAAAATAGATCTGTGTCTTTTTAACTTCACTTATTTTAGCAATTAATCAATTAATCTCATGTAAGATAAAATCAAGTAAAGTAATAGAGTTAGAGATGACACCAGGATTTTTAGCGAAGAAACCCCAATTGGTAGAATAGACCAACTGTTTGCGAGAAAAACCTCGTGGATTGTGCAGTCCAAAGTAAACCGATCCACTATATTTGAAACAAAGTACAATAGACTTTGACTCAGGCTCACACCCTATCGTTCTACCAAACATCAATTGCTAACAATCTTCTGGCTTTACGATGTCCCGTCCAACAGCTCTTGACCTCAGGCTTACTCTTAATCTCTATAAAAGGATTACTGGTAGATTAAATAACACTCCTCGAATGCTTTAACCTTTTCAAAGTGTGATCGTTTCACCCCTGTTCTTCAAGATCTGAATTTGATGTAGAAGAAGTAGATCTGCTTTCTCTGATCGTTGTAGATGCAAGATTCAATAATACTTTGATCACGATCAAAAATTTTGAACAACACTCTAAACTCACTTTTGTATTTATATGTGTGTTCTAGAAAGAAAGACAGAAAAATCAATTTTGATTTTCTGCAAAAATATCTCTCTAATAGGCTTTTAAGAATTCTGAAGTTATAATGCAAAAGTCGTATCAACCTAGATAAAACTAAAGTTTATATAGAATTTTCAAAGACCTAGATATGCATAAGAAAAGGTAATTTTCGTGCATAAGACTTTTGGAAGAATTCTAAACCAATTAGGAAGAAAAATCAGAATAGAGAACTAAGTTACTTTAACTGTCTGAAAGGCTTGAACCGGTTCAAAGAAAGCTGAACTGGTATAAGATGGCCAGTGAAATTTCGAAGGATGTATTTGATTCTTAAATCAGTTCCAAAAAGCTTAAACCGGTTCAAGATGGCTAGTCTTAAACTTGTGAAGGCCTGACACCTATTTTGGTAAGTTTAAAACCTGTACCAAGTATAAGAAGTGTCATAACCTCAAAACTCATCTTCGTAATGTGTTGCTCATTCCTTTTTCTTAGATCTCAGTATATCAAACTTGAACAACTTTCCAATTTCCGCAGCCGATCTCAATCTTGACACCTATTTTGGTAAGTTGAAAAACCTATACCAAGTATGAAAAGTGTCCTAACCTCGAAACTCATCTTCCTAATGTGTTATTCATTCCTTTTTCGTAGATCTCAGTATATCGAACTTGAACAACTTTCCAATTTCCACAACGATCTCAATCTTGAATTTTGAACTTCAAAATTACAACTCGATTGAACTTGTTTTGACATTGAAATTCGCCAGTTACAAAAATTATATCTCACAGAGATCTGGTGTAGAGTAATAATATGTATTTTATATGTAATAGGGTTAAGTGCAAAAAACTCCACTATAATATAGGTTATGTGCACAATGAGTCCCTCCTTTTTGAAAAAGTGCATTTCAGTCCATAATATTCAAAAAAAAAAGTGCAAATAAGCCCCTCTGACCACTTTTTAGCGAAAAAATAAATACAAAGACCCAATTTTGCCCCTTTTTTTTTTCCCCATTTTTCCCCTCACATAAAATCATTTGTTATTTCTTCCAAAGTTATGTTATCAACTACTTCGGCCAAGTTTCATTCCATCCATTAAATCCGGTGAACCCAAGTTCTGCTTGCTCCACCAATGATAGTGACCTTCGAACCCACCTCAACGAAACCCAGTTCAATCATCATGTTCATGTAAGCTTCATTGCTCTACCTGGCCGGTGACCCATCATCGAAGATTTAACAATTTTGACGAGCTAAATTTAGAGACCCATCTCGTCTGGAGTTGCATCGAAGGCCGGTGAGCTCCAAGCAACAAGAACAATTCCGGTGATAGAACTGTAAACTCTACAAACTGCATTTTCCACCATTAAGCTTCAACTACCAAACCAAGAAGCTCACAATGAACAACCCGAATTCTGGCGAACCCAGTTCAGTCCGACAAGCTTCACATTCACTCAGTTTAGCGTGCTCCAACTTAGCCTCATCTACATTAACAATAGAAAGAATGAAATCGATAGCGTCTACGCAAGGTCCCCCATCTGCATGCACTATCACTGGTGACCCAACTAGTGAGCCTCAAAGATGAACCAACAGTGTTCTTCATTAAAGAATCATTCTAGCCGGAGTTATATATGAGACCCATTTCTGATGTACTCCACTTCAGATCAGCGAGCTGCACTCAAAGACTCAACAATTTTGATGATCTTCAGTTAGACCCTAAAATTGCTTCAACACCATTAGCTCCGGCGAGCTTCGTTCAACAATTCAGCGAACTTCAGTCATCAATTGTAGTGACCCAAAAGCTTCAATCTGATGACAATCACTTTGGTGAGCTTCAATCGTAGCATTTAATCATTTCTTCTTCATGAAATTGACGATAATCGAAGCCTTTATCAGCAATGAGATTTTTATTAACCTTGTACTCTTGATTAGGCCAATAGTTTCCCTCATGGTTGTCTTCATCATTTATCAATGATAGAATCCGATCATCAAGTTCTACTCCTTGATTTGAATAAGGAAATTGGACATTTTAAGCTATAATTTCATTTTTTATGCCAAATGGGTCAAAGACAAGGCTTCCCATTATATAGTAAAGCATTCTAGGACTATTGTTTTGTTTGACTGGGTTAGCCCATCTTTGTCTAAAGGAGAAGACGAAACACTGTAGGAAGAAGCTTAAGTACTGGGGTAAATCCAAGTTAACTAATTACAGTAAGAAGATTAAAGAAATTCAAGAGAAATTGGCTACTATGGATCCTCATAGTGTCTTTTGATAGAGTTTTCTTCAACCTTAACCATCAGCACCTTGTTAGTTTCTCTCACAGACAAAGCTCAAAGTTGCTATAGAGAGAGAAAATGGGTTGTAAAGAGAAATTTTGAGGGAGATAGCACTGGACAACGGTCATTTTACATGGCCTACATTTGTATATATTAATTTATTTTACTGATATGAGGGCATTATAGTCATTTTAAGTCTTGAAGGGGGTATTTGCACCAAATCAATAGTATAGGGGGATTTTATACTACACAGAAACTTTTTTGCACTATATCGATAGTAGAGAGGTTTTTTTTGCACTTAACCCTATGTAATACATATATTTCTAATATATACAATATACTATATAGCAATGAGGGCTTGATGGCTTATGCAATTGATGGATGTTGAAGGCTTGGCTGGTGAGAACTTATGCATATACATAGTTCAATACAAGAGTGATGTATATATATGTACAGAGAGGGGTGCAGATTGACCCAGAGGAATTGGATTTTTGTTCTTCTTATTCTTTTTATTTCACTAAATATTTGGATCTTTCTTGATAGATGATTCAGCCATTGAGGGTTCAAATTGCAGAGCATGCGATTATCTCATTCTATTGAAGATAGAAATAGGAAAATGGGTTTTAAATGGGTCAACCAATTCATAACAGGTCGTGAAGGCTAAAATTGTCTGATAAAAAAAATGAGATTGTCAAGTAACTTTTATCCGTTAGTAATTCAATGGATGATTAACGGAGTGGGATTTTTTTGCAACAAATGAAATAGATTAGGAAGTTAAGTGTCAAAATGATAATTTAAGGGGGTTTCTTGAGAAGGAGAAGAAAGTTTAGGGGAGTTTAATGCACTAAACCCTTTAATGGATGACTAACGGAGTGGGATTTTTTTTGCAACAAATGGAATAGATTAGGGAGTTAAGTGTCAAAATGATAATTCAAGGGGATTTCTTGAGAAGGAGAAGAAATTTTAAGGGAGTTTAATGCACCTAACCCTATTTTTTAAATTTTTTATTAGGTCATGGGCCCATGACATTTGAATTGAATGTTATGACATACTCGATTTAGATAGAGTGAAGTAGGAACAAGAGGTGAAAGCATATAAATTAGGGCTGTAACTTGGGCGAGCTAACCCAGCCCAACTCGAAATTTTGAAATTTGGGCTTTAAGTTTACAAATTGGGTTCATGTTCGGGTTGGGTTTTGTCAAAACCCAGACATATTCAGGTTTGACTCAATCCGAACCCAACCCAAAACCTAAAATAAAAAAAAATAAAAAAAAAATTCATTTTTTTTTTCTCCTCTCTCCTCTCTCCTCTCTCTACTTCTTTCTCTTTCTCTCTCTACTATCATCCCCATACATTCAAGTTAGCAGTTGCAAAGAGAGAAAGAGAGGAAGGCAAGCTTGAGAGTTGAGAGACAGCGCCTGAAGCTTACGAATGGCGAACGGCGAACGGCGAACCCGGATTGGAATAGCAGGCGATGGAAACTATAAGATCTGGGTTTTGATTTTTTGAACAATCTGAAATGATATGCCGATATGGGTTTTAAACTTTTGATTCTTGCAGACAGATAGATAAAACTGAAATATATGGGTTTTGCAATTCTGATTCTTGTAGATTTTGTAGTTTGCAGTTGTTGCACAGAGAGAGAGAGAGAGGAGAGGGGGGGAAGCTCTGAGAGAGGCGATTGGGGAGGCTAAAATGATTTGCTCTAAATAAAATATATATATATATATATATATATCTTGTCTTTTAATAATAATATAATCAAATATATATAATATATATATAAATTTCCAAATATATATATATATATATATATATATAAAATAAATAAATAAAAATAAATAAAAATAAAAAAAATCTCAACCCGTCAACCCGACCCGATCCGCCCGAAAATAGTCAGAGTTATGACCATAACCCATATTGGGTACAATTCGGGCTAGCCCAACCCAACCCGATTCGAGTTGAGGTTGGGTTGGGACTAGGCTGGGTTGGACCAGCCCAACTTGGAGCCCTAATATAAATAGGCAAACAAATCACTCCAACCATAAAAGGATATGGCAACTGCATTCTGTTACCTGGTTGATTTGATCCACCCAAAAAATGAACTCTGGTGTTATTTATAATTTAGCATCACAATGCCAACATTTCAAGACTCCTGACAATAATATATTTTTATCAACTATTGGCATCTTCCTTGCCAGTATATATAATATAATGTATAATAAAATTGAATGTACAGAGTTACGAAGCCAATAAGCAATGAATTCAGTCTAATGAAACAATTACAAAATCAGCATTATGTATTACAAGCTAGAAATTTGATCAAAGCCCACATCTGAATGAATGCTGGAGCTATCTAGATGGAATTCAAATGATTCCGCTAACTCAACAGCATCTTGAACTCTAAGTCGGGTACCCTGTTGCCCAACAACTACAGCTGCAACCCTAGCTGCTAATGTACCCATGCTTTTCAAATCTGACACACCCCGTAAAATACCATACAAGATGCCTGATGCATACGCATCTCCAGCCCCACAGGTGTCCACTGGTACACACGGTGAAGGAGGGATATACACAGCTTCCCCTTTAACACCAATGTAAGAACCACGTGGCCCATCTGTGACCGAGACTAGGGGAACAAAGTGGCTTAGGTACCGTGCAGCAGAAATGGGGTTTTCCTTTGAGGAAAAATGACAGAAAGCTTTTGCTTCGTCACTGTTAGTAAACACAATGTCGGCATAGTTCCCCATAATCTCCCTGAATAAAAAAATATATAAATTCCAAATGATCATGACAAAAAAAAGAGAAACCAAGAGGACCATAGTACAACAAGTAGCATAAGTAAATTTGGAAATTGCTGCAATTAGAACCCCCATTTCCAAAAAAAAAAAAAAAAAAAATCCTTGAAAGTAAAGAATGAACTATTAAAATGATTAAATATGGAACCATTAGGTCGGGACTAATATGCACTTGTGTACTATAGTAGTTTTATGAAACTGTTCAAAGTAAGATCTTTGGAGTTGTTTGTAGATGCGACAACAATCAGGGTTGAAACATTAAAGACATCTTCCGCCAGAACTTAGAAAACAAATTTAGCATTTAGGTAATCCAAGGGGAAAAGTGTTGGGAAATGTGCAAATTTTTAAAACTTTTGAGGGATTTGCAATCACGGATCTTGATTCATCACACAGAGACAAGTTTTATGCAAAGATAAATAAAAGATGATGCATAATTCAATAAACAGATTGAATACTTACATCAAAGGTCTGAGTAAACCTTTTGAACTTTCCTCTAAAGTGAATATTCTCACTTATTGTAGATCCCTTTAGCAAGATCCTTTCTCCTTCCGTTAGATTATTATCTTCCCTTTAGGAATCACCAATATGCCTTGATGAATGACCTTGGAATCTAGGCTGGTGGTAGCCTCCTTTAGAAGAGAAAACAAAACCCTAAAATCTAGAGAGAGAAAGTGTATTCCTTTTTCACGTTCTCCAAGTCACCCCTAAAATATACATGAACTCATGTATATATAGGAAAAATAAAAATAAGAATAAGGAAACAATAAATCATTCTCCATCTCTAATTCAACTTTCTCAATCCTAACATGACTCCAATATCAACTTGGGCTATTGGTGAGAATCCTTTTGGGCTTACTATTTTCTTGGCTCCTATAAATTAATAATTGGTCCGGTCCATTAAACCATGAACCCAATTCAATTAATTCATAAATTAATTTCTACTCCACTAAAAGAAATTAATTGCACTCCAATTAAATAGTAAATAACCTCTAAGTCAATGTTGCACTTTGACCCCTCTATGCTTAATTATTTATCGGATAATTAAAGCCATCAATCCGACAACATAATTAATATAATTATTTTGTTACCTTTGATTATTTCCGGCTCGATCACAATAAAATATTTATTTGACAAAAAATAATAATAATTTATTAAATAAATATATATATATATATATATATATATATAACATTTGTCTAAAACATACGAAGGCCTTCGAATTTAATTTGTGATCAACCATAATCAAAACAAAATAAATACAAATAGCACTAATGCAAATATTGAGAATATAGACCTCTAATTATTAATTACATAACTACCCAAAGTGTCGATCTAAGGATCCCGAGGTATCCGCCGAACAAATCAAAGTAATTATTAATTAATAAAAGAGTCTATTCTTCTCTCATACTTGAGAGTCAAAAGCCATGACTGTGATAGAGAGCAATTGCATATGACAGCTCTCGCAATATATCTCAATCTATTGTGGACTCGGTTTAAGTCTTAACTAATTAAATGTCCATCCATAATTACCGACTTTAAACCATTTATGATTACTAATTTATATCATAGTATTAATTGCCATTACATACATATATAAATATATTTTGTAATCAAGCAGACACCATTAATTCCATAAAGAATCGAAAAATAATACATTCCATTCACCAATTGTATAATGCTTTAATAATAATATCCAAATAAGAAACCATGACTTTTACAATCCAAAATTAGAATTTGCTATGCTAGGGCACACATATCCTAACAGCTCCCACTTGCACTTATAGCCAATTCAAATCACATCTAACTCCCATGTTCTCCATATGACGATCAAACATCTTGATCGGTAAAGCCTTTGTGAATGGATCAGCAAGGTTATGTTCCAATGCAATCTTAGCCACAAGTATATCTCCTCGCTTTACTATATCACGAACCACATGATGTTTCCTCTGAATGTGTCTTGTTCTTTTATGAAATTTTGGGTCCTTGGTTTGGGCTATAGCTGCACTATTGTCGCAATGAAGCGTTATAGGCTGATCTATGTGCTCCACAACCTCCAGTTCAATTAGAAAGTTTCTCAACCAAACAGCTTCTTCTGCTACCTCAGAGGCTGCAATGTATTCTGCTTCCATGGTTGAGTCAGCAGTACAACCCTGCTTGACACTCTTCCAACTAACTGCCCCTCCATTGAACTTGAACACATATCCAGATGTAGATCTCCTGGCATCAGGATCTGATTGAAAATCAGAATTCGTATATCCGACTGGAACCAGATCATCACCTCCATAAATGAGCATTAGATTCTTAGTTCTTCTAAGGTATTTTAAGATATTCTTCACAGCTGACCAATGATCAAGTCCAGGATTGGACTGATATCTACTGACAATCCCTACAGAGTAGCAGATGTCCGGTCTGGTACAGACCATGGCATACATGAGACTACCAACTGCCGAAGCTTATGGTACCCGCCTCATTTGCTCAATTTCCTTATTAGTCTTGGGAGACTGGTCATTAGAAAGAGCTAACCCATGTCTAAATGGCAAAAACCCATTCTTAGAGTTTTCCATTCCAAACCTAATCAGAACTTTGTCAATGTAAGACTCTTGAGACAAGCCTATTTTCTTTTTAACCCGATCTCGCATAAGCTTGATCCCAAGAATATAGCTTGCTTCTCCAAGATCTTTCATCTCAAATTTATTGAACAACCACCTTTTAACTGATGACAATGCTTCTACATCATTACCAATGAGCAAGATGTCATTAACATATAAAACGAGAATCATGATGACATTACCCTGTTTTTTCTTGTAAACGCAAGGTTCAAACACGTTTTGTTCAAAGCCAAATAATTTGACTGCCTGATCAAAACAAATGTTCCATGTGCGTGAAGCTTGCTTAAGTCCATAAATAGACCTATTCAACTTACATACACAGTCCTTATGACCTTTAACCACGAAACCATCTGGTTGCCTCATGTAGATGTCTTGTTCAAGATGGCCATTTAAAAATGCCGTCTTAACATCCATCTGCCATATCTCATAGTCATAATAAGCATTAATGGCCAAAAGAATGCGAATAGATTTAAGCATTGCAACTGGTGAGAATGTATCCTCATAATCAATACATTCACGTTGAGTGAAGCCTTTGGCAACCAGTCTAGCTTTGAATGTCTCAACATTCCCATCCATTCCTCTCTTTCGTTTGTAGATCCACTTACAACCAATGGGCTGAACCCCACTAGGAAGTTCTACAATATCCCAGACTTTGTTAGAATACATCGATTCCAACTCTGATCTCATGGCATCTTTCCAACGATTCGCATCTATATCGGTCAACGCTTCCGCATAGCTTACTGGGTCCGACTCATTCTTATCGGGGACGGCCTCATAGACCTCACCCAAAAGTGTGAGTTTTTCGGGTTGGATGATAGTCCTCCCACTACGCCGAAGGACCGGTGCAGGAATCGATGTACTAGATGATGGTAATTCAACAGGGACTTCTTGTGTCTCATCATTCTCAGTATTTATATTAGGTGTGTCCACTGGGGGTATATCTGACGTGCCAACCATCTCCTCTAACACTATCTGGCTACTAGGTTTGTGATTCATAATATAATCCTCCTCCAGGTAAACAGCATGAGTGCTGACAATAACCTTATTGTCCCTGGGATCATAAAATAATCCACCTCTAGTACCCTTAGGATAGCCAACAAATAAGCATGCATCTGATCTTGCTTCCAACTTGTCTGCCTATTTCTTTCGCACGTGTGCTGGACACCCCCATATATGCATGTGATTTAAACTAGGTTTACGTCCAAACCACAGCTCATATGGCGTTCCTGAAACAGACTTGGATGGAACACAGTTCAAAATATACATCGCTGATTCTAAGGCTAATCCCCAAAATGATAGAGGTAATGTAGCAAAACTCATCATAGATCTAACCATGTTAAGTAAAGTTCTGTTCCTCCTTTCTGCCACTCCATTCTGTTGAGGGCAGTCAGGTTCGGATAACTGGCGCACAATACCCTCATTGACCATATGATCCTTGAACTCTCCCAAGAGGTATTCACCTCCTCGATCAGATCGAAGTGTTTTGATAAGTTTACCTAATTTACGCTCCACTTCCGCCTGAAACTCACAGAATTTTCCATAAGCTTCTGACTTGTGTCGCATTAGGTAAATATATCCAAAACGTGAATAATCATCAATGAAAGTGATGAAGTACTCAAACCCTCCTCTCGCTTGGGTGTTCATGGGACCACACACGTCTGTGTGCACCAACTCTAATTGTTCTTTGGCTCTATATCCTTTGGCTGAGTAAGCCCTTCGAGTCATCTTTCCTTCAATACAGGATTCACAAGTTGGCATAGGCTCCTCTGCCTCACAAGGTAATAAACCTTCTTTAACCAACCTTTGAATCCTATTTTGATTGATGTGACCCAATCGTAGATGCCAATGATACAATGAGTTTGGAGAAACTGCTTTTCTTTTAACATTCAATCTAGATGAAGTTGCATTTAATTCATAATTTTGCATTTGATATGAGCTAGGATTTAAAACATATAGATTATCTTTCAATGTACCAGAAGTTATAACACAACCATTTAATTTAATTAAAACATTTTTTCCAAAAGTAAACATATAATTTTTGCAAACCAACGAAGAAACTGAAATTAAATTATGCCTAACATTTGGCGCATAAAGACAATCTTCTAAAATAAGACTCCTCCCACTATCAAACTGCATATGAACCACTCCCACTGCTTTAGCTTCCACCTTGGCATTAGATCCCATATGCAAGTATATCTTTCCTTCATTGAGGCTTCTGGAATCCTGGAATCCCTGCAATGAATTGCAAACATGATTAGTGGCTCCAGAATCTATGCACCAGGAATCTTTAGATTCAACCACATTACATGCCTCAACAATGAATATACCTTTTCCTTTGCCTTGTGTGCGAAGTATTGGGCAGTTAGGTTTCCAGTGACCCGATTGACCACAATGGAAGCAGTTTCCTTCGCCTTCAACCCGCACTTTCTTCTTTCCCTTATCCTTTTGGATTACTTTGTTTGGCACAACCACAGTTTTGGCACCATCCTTCTTCTTTTTCTTGCCCCTCCTCTTGGGCCTAGAAGTGGATGGTCTAGCAGACTGAGTGTAGTTGATAGATGCACCCTTGCTTTTGTTTATCCCTTCAAAGGTTACCAACTCATTCAATAGTTCAGCGAGTGTGTACTCAAGCTTATTCATATAATAATTAACCCTAAAAGAGTTAAATGAGTCTGGCAATGAAGCGATAATCATGTCAACCTGAAGTTCACCATCCAAGTTGCATCCAAGGATCTCCAGTTCATTTAAAAAACCAATCATTTTTAAAGCATGTTCCCGAACTGAAGTACCTTGGACCATCTTAATGGTCATCAAATTTGTCATAGCATTTTGGCGTGCGCTCTTACCAATTTGCCCAAACATTTCCTTAAGGTTAAGCATGATGTCTGCAGAAGTGAGATATTGAAGATGTTGACTTTGGAGTACATTCGAGAGTGAAGCAAGAATGTAGCACCTAGTCATCTCATCTACTTTATTCCATTTCTTAAATACTTCATGCTCCTCAGGAGGATCCTCAGGCAAAGGTGGAGAAGGTCTAAGAGTAGTAAGCACATAATTCAACCCCTCATATGTGAGTACAATATCTAGTTGTCTTTTCCAATCGATATAATTAGGTCCAGTTAATCGATTTTCTTTTAGTATGTTTGCAAGTGGACTGAATGGACTAGTCATGATAAATCTGAAAATAAAAGCATTCATACAATAAATAAAGTGAATAATAATAATCATGCAAGTATAAAATAATTAATTAATTGTGGGTCCCTTAACCACATTGCATGAAAAATCGGACAATCAATATGCCAATAACTTATCCGGTTGGCGGAATTCATTATTGCTTATTGACGAGAACAACTCATTATTTCCATATCTCTTTAGACAATGCCTTATCTAAATATGAAATAATTCCCGATTAGATTTAGCCTTTCTAAAATCACCTAGTATAGACCACTCCATTGGGGAGCTAATACTATTGATTTTAGATTGAGTGTATAACATAATTAATGCTCCAACGGAAAAACAAATATTAAATATATTGCCATTTATAGCTTAGACTCTTTAAATCATGCGTAGGGCCTTATTTTTAAAGATCTAACTATAATGGTTATTTAATAAATATATTTTCGTGAGACAACCATTCTTGTAATCTAGACTCTTTAAATCATGCGTGGAGCCTTATTTTTAAAGATCTAATCATAATGGTTATAATTACGAAGGCCATGGGGTAATGTATAAAAAATCCCCGCTCCCACTCAATTTTTAATAATATAAAACTAGGGTTTTTAATTCATGATTTAATGCATGCAAAACGCCTTGATTTTAATCCAATTAAATTTAGAAAATATATGGATTTTAAATGATTCACTAATCTTTAATTTGAGGCAAAAAATAATTTACAAAAATATTTTTTTCCTGTTTCCCAATAAATGCCCTCAAATTAATTAGCAATCTAATCCAATTTATCTTCATAATTTAATTAATATAAATCAAGCCATTTAATTAAAAATTATGGATCCAATGCATGAACAATTATAATAAGCATTAAATTATTCCATGCATCAAATAATAGACAGAAGCAATATAAATGGCCAATGGATTCAGCTTTTAACATTTAAAAACTATTCTTGCTGTACGGGCATCCTTCAACTGTCTGTAAACACTCATAGGAAGCTTGTACGCGTCAGGAGAAGCAAAACACCGCTTGGAACGAGCCCGGAGGACCCCACACGTGCTGGCACGCGCCTAGGGCAAGCTGCACGCGCTCTCACGCGCCCCCACGCGCCGGCACGCGCTTGGGGCGCGTGGAATGCACCCTCACGCGCTCCCACGCACCTGGGGCGCGTGGGACGTGCCTCCACGCGCCTTCCCGCGCGTGGAGAGTACCAACTCCTTAGCTGGCGCGTGAGATCCACGCGCCAGCTTGTCATTGACCAGCCCACTCCTGGCGCGTGTGGAACACGCGCCAGGCTCACCTAGCCGCTGCCACACCTGATCCGGGCCACCTCCGACGCCTCTTCTGGCCGACGGCGAAGCTCCGGCCACCGGAAAAACGCCGAAAAATTCCAAAAAAATCCGGAAAAATCCCAGAAAATTAAATTAAGCCTCAAAAAATTCCCGAAAAATTCGGAAAAATTTCAGAAAATTACTGAAGCATAATTTAACCCTTTCGGACCCTCTTAAAACTTCATAGCATCCTTTGATGAATATTACATGGCTTTAATAAATTCTTACAATTTGAAATACAATGGAAAAAATTAAATTACATCATTGAATTTTCAAACGGCTAAAACAAAGCCTTAATTACATTCATCCAAAAATAAAATTACATTCTATATACCTATAAGCTTCATCCATGGCCCAAACACACATCATCATCCATTCACAGTTATACATACATCAACATGTATTAATATATACCAACATAATAAATCATACATCAACATATATCAATAATTTTATATATGTATATATAATTTGGATCCATGAATATGATTTTTATAAACACATGTTCTCTAGTAATGAATCAAACCATGTGCTCTGATACCACTGTTGGGAAACGTGTAAGTTTTTAAAACTTTTGAGGGATTTGCAATCACGGATCTTGATTCATCACACAGAGACAAGTTTTATGCAAAGATAAATAAAAGATGATGCATAATTCAATAAACAGATTGAATACTTACATCAAAGGTCTGAGTAAACCTTTTGAACTTTCCTCTAAAGTGAATGTTCTCACTTATTGTAGATCCCTTTAGCAAGATCCTTTCTCCTTCCGTTAGATTATTATCTTCCCTTTAGGAATCACCAATATGCCTTGATGAATGACCTTGGAATCTAGGCTGGTGGTAGCCTCCTTTAGAAGAGAAAACAAAACCCTAAAATCTAGAGAGAGAAAGTGTATTCCTTTTTCATGTTCTCCAAGTCACCCCTAAAATATACATGAACTCATGTATATATAGGCAAAATAAAAATAAGAATAAGGAAACAATAAATCATTCTCCATCTCTAATTCAACTTTCTCAATCCTAACATGACTCCAATATCAACTTGGGCTATTGGTGAGAATCCTTTTGGGCTTACTATTTTCTTGGCTCCTATAAATTAATAATTGGTCCGGTCCATTAAACCATGGACCCAATTCAATTAATTCATAAATTAATTTCTACTCCACTAAAAGAAATTAATTGCACTCCAATTAAATAGTAAATAACCTCTAAGTCAATGTTGCACTTTGACCCCTCTATGCTTAATTATTTATCAGATAATTAAAGCCATCAATCCGACAACATAATTAATATAATTATTTTGTTACCTTTGATTATTTCCGGCTCGATCACAATAAAATATTTATTTGACAAAAAATAATAATAATTTATTAAATAAATATGTATATATAACATTTGTCTAAAACATACGAAGGCCTTCGAATTTAATTTGTGATCAACCATAATCAAAACAAAATAAATACAAATAGCACTGATGCAAATATTGAGAATATAGACCTCTAATTATTAATTACATAACTACCCAAAGTGTCGATCTAAGGATCCCGAGGTATCCGCCGAACAAATCAAAGTAATTATTAATTAATAAAAGAGTCAAAAGCCATGACTGTGATAGAGAGCAATTGCATACGACAGCTCTCGCAATATATCTCAATCTATCGTGGACTCGGTTTAAGTCTTAACTAATTAAATGTCAATCCATAATTACCGACTTTAAACCATTTATGATTACTAATTTATATCATAGTATTAATTGCCATTACATACATATATAAATATATTTTGTAATCAAGTAGACACCATCAATTCCATAAAGAATCAAAAAATAATACATTCCATTCACCAATTGTATAATGCTTTAATAATAATATCCAAATAAGAAACCATGACTTTTACAATCCAAAATTAGAATTTGCTATGCTAGGGCACACATATCCTAACAAAAAGAACATCTCCTATCCTCACTTAGAAGTATCACATTGAGAGTTGAGAGAAGTGAAAGTTCTCAAATCAATTTTATAGCTCCCAAGGATCCATCTGGTTCTACAGAAAAAAATTTCCTAGCTGAAATTAACTTCCTTTAGTATGCAGTATCACGACTGCATATTACTAAAATTTCCCTGGTAAACCCCATTCTGATGACTTGCTGCTATACCCAGCCATAGTATCTGTAAGGGCAAGACAACAAATGGTGCCATTGCAAATTTAAATTATAGGATGGTATTAAATGTCAAAACGTAAAATCTAAGCACCCTTCAAATGAAGAGAACATAATAATATTAAATTAACAAAGCCAGTGAAGTTGAAGATTTACCAGAAGTCATCATAATGTTTCTCGATGCAGGAGACATCTAAAGCTGTGACAGCAACCAGAGCACCACTCCTGTGGGCATCCTCGCACGCCTTTGTAATTGTTCTGATCGTATCAGGAAATTCGAATAAATACCCTTCAACAACTAATATATTTGTTTTGGAAATTATGCTAGCCAAGCAGGGATCGTAGTTAACAGTGGAAGAAGTACCCTGACATAAAAATAAATAAAAAATAGGAAAACCATATTAGTGTGTCATGCTATTTACCTAATGCATCACATGGCTAGTCAAAACCAAATAAAGACATGTAAAATTTTCTCAAGGGGGTAACTTCATATGAGAACTTTCAAGTGTTTTGGGAGTTCTCTAAGAATACAAATAACAGAGAGAAAAGAACTAGTTCAGCAGAAAAACAGAATGAAGCCCAAACATTTAATAAGTTTGCTGTAATAATATCAATTATTTATAAATTAGATTGTAACTGAGATCAGTTATTAAGCAAATGGAAGGTTACTCCGCACAGAAAAGATAAGCAAAAATAAGCTAACACATTAGTATCCCCCAGCAATTTGAAACAAGACAAGGGATTAAATTTAAATTTTTACCTTTTACATTGATCGGGACCAAACAAAAAGTGAGGGTTGCTTCTTTGTCTTCACTATCATCGTACATATGTGGATATTCTAAAAACTATGCCTGATTCTCTTTTTATGCAGGATTTCCTATTGCTTTTTCTATAAATAATAATGATGGTGAATTTTTCAAGCCCAACAACTTCATACCTATTTCCTGCAGTTCTTAATAACTAAAATCTCATTGGTATGATTTGATTTGCATTCATCTCCTTTTCAGATCATACATAGAAAGAAATCAATTTCTCTTTTTCCCCTGAAAATTGTAACATCCAAAAAAAATTAAAAATAAGGAGTAAGTAATAGCATAAATCACATGATTTTATACCAGGCAACATACATGTATCCCTTCTACAACTGGTTGAACTTGAGGAACCAACATATGCTTCTAACAAAAAATCATGCATTAGTATTAACTTCATTTAGACGTTTACTACTATGCTGAGTAGATTTGATAACCCAAATTCGTTTCCAGAAGTGTTTAACTGCACCAAAGAACTTGATTACAAGATTCCTTACTGAAAAGGGCCGAATCAGCCTTGGGCCCCAACGTAACTGAGAAAGGGCCATCCTAAAGCCAATTGTATTGAAAAAGCCACCAGGCCCAAAAACCCAGTAAATAACAGACTGGACCGGCCCAAAAGAAAGGCACGACCCACCAGCATAGGAACTTGGAGATCACGTTTCCAATATAGGGAAATGAGAAGAAAAAGAAGAGTGGAAAGGCGGTTCAATCAATAGAAAGCAAATTTTCTTGTACCTACATCTGGCGCCATTGTGGGAAACGAGGGAGAGATCCATCGATTTCCACACTGAAATATGACTCAGCTCCGATCAGGAACCATGATCGGAGAAGGAAGCTCGCATCTACAGAACGAGAACGAGTGAACCAGGCATGATCCAGGATGGAACGAAGGGATGTGCCTGAAGATTTTTAGAGATAAAGAAATAAGAATAATTCTCCGTGTTTATTCTTTTCCTTGTGGAGGATTTAAATAGTACACAAATAATTACAAAGAAGGAAAGAAATAATTACAAAGAAGGAAGAATTAAAGACTAAAAATCAGCTCCTATAAGTATGTTAATCAGGGACCTAATCAGCACATGTACAGCTAATTATCTATATATGTTGATATAGTCAACAATAAAGCTAATTATCTATATATGTCAACACTCCCCCTCAAGCTTGAGAATAGAGGTCCTGGATTCTCAGCTTGGCAAGAGCATAATTGAACACTTTGCTAGAGTCTCCGTTAGTTAAAATATCAGCATGTTGATCCTTGGTCCTCACATAGGGAGTGCAAATCACACCTTCTGTCAACTTCTCTTTAATAAAGTACCTGTCAATCTCAACATGTTTAGTCCGATCATGTTGCACAGGATTATGAGCAATGCTGATGGCCGCCTTATTATCAATATAGCTTCATGGGACTTTGACAAGCAATCCTCAATTCTCCCAATAGGATCTTCAACCATAATAATTCACACACACCGTGAGCCTTAGCTCTAAATTCAGCCTCGGCACTAGACCTGGCCACAACCGATTGCTTCTTACTCCGCTAAGCAACTAGATTGCCACCCACAAATGTGTCATATCCCGTAGTTGATTTTCGATCCGAAATAGAACCTGCCCAATCAGCATCTGTATAGGCCTCTACTGCAGAGTGATAATGTTTTGAAAACAAAAGACCCTTACCAGGTGTTGATTTCAAGTATTCAAGTATCCTTTCTACTGCCTGCATATGAACTTCATGTGGCTCGTGCATGAATTGACTGACAACACTCACTGCATAACCTATTATTGGGTCGTGTATGAGACAAATATATTAGTTTTCCAACCAACCTCTGATATCTCTCTGTCAACTGGTGTATCATGTTCACCCAATCTATGATTCTGTTTTATAGGAGCATCCAAAGGCTTGCAGACTAACATCCCTGTCTCAGTTAAGAGATCAAGTACATACTTTCTCTGTGAAACAAATATTCCCTGCTTTGAACGAGCCACTTCAATACCTAGAAAATACTGTAAGACACCCAAGTCTTTAATTTCAAATTCCTTGGCCAAATGTACCTTTAGTCTCTAATCTCATCGGTATCATCCCTGGTGATGATGATATCGTCCACATAGACAATAACAACTGTAATTCTACCTCCCGAGAGTGTCAAAGGAATAACGTATGGTCTGCTTGACTAAGATGATATCCATACTTCTGCATAGCTTGTGCAAATCTACCAAACCATGCTCTAGACAACTATTTCAGACCATATAATGATTTTCTTAGGGCTTGTTTACTAAAAGGAATAATTCCTATTTTCTACTGCCAATTCCTAAAATGTAAAGTAAAAAATAAAAATCATGTTTATTAATTTAATTTTACTTTCCATCTTTTTAGAAGTACTTCTACAATTAATGAAGGAAGGAGAAAGTGAAGATTTGTTACTTTCTCTACTTCCTACATTGTACAGAAAAAATACTTTATCTTACTATAACATTCATTCATGATTCACCTATCATCCTCGTATCACCCATTCTCACCTGACCATCACCCATCATCCTCTCCCTCTTTATCATCATCATCTCATCCCACCCATCGGCGACGATGGAAGACACCACCCACCAGTGACAACGGAAGACACCACCAACCAGACTTTCTATCAATACTGCTCTCTCTCTCTATCTGGACGAAGACAAGACGATGCCGACGAATTTCAGACCACCGGAATCAGAGTCTTTCTCTTTCTCTAAACCACTATAACTTGGAGTCTCTCTCTCTCTCAACCACTATAACTTGGAGTCTTTGAATTGCAATCCATTGTGTTTGCAATCGTTTGTAGCAGCTTTATTTGAGTTTGGGTTTTCTAGGTTTTTTGTTGGGTCTTTTCTCTCTTTTTAAAACTCACCCATTTTCATATCTCTCTCTATAATCACTATAATCAAACCCAGATTAAACTTTTTTTTTAGAGAGGGAAACCCAATTTGGGCATCGGAGAGAGAGACCCAAATTCGCATCCACAAACAATTCATACTCTAAAGTTCTATTCCCAATCAGTTTGTCCGTGGATTCTTGCATCGGAGAGGGAGACCCAAATTCGAGGCTTTAGTTTCCATGGATTCCGGCATCGGGGCACACAGTATATAGAGAGAGATTGACGAGGCTGAGGTCCACGATCCGGCATCGGGAGAGAGAGATGGTTCACTAAGAGAAGATACAGAGGTAAATTTAACCAGAATCGCACCTATATACAAATGTGTGTGTGTACATATATATGTATATATATATAGATGTTTGATGGGTTTGTTGGTTTTCTTTTCTTGCTGTTGGTATGTTCTTTGGTAAGAATTGCAGAGAAGGATATTTGCAGAGAATAAGATGGGTTTTGGTAAGCAATTTTTGCAAAATCAAAATCATAATTACTGAACTTGATTCCTAATTTTTTACTTTCAAAATATTGAAAGCATAAAATATTATTGATCATGATTCTACTTGGTATTTCAACTTCAGAAATGAAAATTATGATTTTACTTTTGGAGAAAGTAAAAATAAGAAAGTGAAAGCGTTAGTGAACAAGCCCTTAGCCTGCATCCTTCCCCTTATTGGTACTTTCGTCACTACCTGGAGGAAGGTCCATGTACACTTCCTCCTCTAAATTTTCATGGAAGAAAGCATTCTTAACATCAAATTGTTGGAGAGTCCACTCTAGGTTAGCTGTTAAAGATAGCAAAACCAGAATAGTATTCATTTTCGCAACTAGAGCAAACGTCTCCCGATAGTCAATGCCCTATGTCTGAGTATAGCCTTTTGCCACTAATCTTGCCTTGTATCGGTCAATCAACCCATCTGTCTTATGCTTCACGGTAAACACCCATTTGCAGCCAACAGTTTTCTTCTCTTTCGCCAACTCCACTAACTCCCACGTAGAGTTTTTTTCGGAGAGCTCTCAATTCTTCAGCCATCGCCTCTTTCCACCTTGGATTGTCAAGTGCATCCTGTAATTTTTTAGGAATAGATAGAGACGACAACTGATGGGCAAAAGCCTTAAAGGATGGTGAGAGACGATGAGAAGACATAAACCTTGAAATAGGATATTTTATATTTTGACTGACAAGTACGATGTGATTTTCTCAAGGCAATAGGCAATTCTAAGTCATTAACAACATTAGAATCATCTAAAGCATTAGGACCTACATAACTATTATCAACAAAAGAGAATGGAGATTCAACAGATTACCTCAGGATTACCTATTGTCAGGGCAGACTGATCATTTTCCTTAAGAGGTACTTTTCTCTTCTTTGATATACCAGCTCAAATAGAGACATATGATGACCTTTTGGAGGGAGAGTCAAAGAACCGCCTTCTGCTTTTTAATTTTTTTCATTTTTTCCATTTTTTTCATTTGCCTCATTTCCACTCTCTAATTCAAACATAGCCACAATATAAAACTTTTCTTCACTACTCAACGTCTCCCCCAGAAGAGAAGGCGTACAAGCAAGACTAGAAAAATAGGCTTGTTCCTTATGAAAAGTAACATCCATATAGACAAAGATTTGACAAAGGGTGATAACACTTGTAACCCTTCTAGGTAATAGAATAACCGAGAAAAATGCATTTGAGGGAACGAGGGTCAAGCTTACCACTCTGGTGTACATGGACAAAGCTTATACAACCAAAGACTCAAGGAGGAAGATGATTAACAGGAGATGGCGAGCAAGAAGTAGTGAAAACCTGAAGTGGAGTTTGGTATTGAAGAACTCTAGAAGGCATCCGATTGATCAAACAGGTTACTGTGAGGACAGCCTCCCCTTAATATGACTTTGGTATTGTCATGGATAGAAGCAGAGAACGTTATACTTCGAGAAGATAACGATTTTTTCGTTCGGCTACTCCATTCTGTTGAGGGGTATTGGTGGAAGAAGTTTGATGGACAATGCCATGGTCAGAAAAATATGATTGGAGACCAGAATAAATGTAATCACCCCTATTATCAGAGCGGAAGCCTTTTATCTTTGAATTGTATTGTGCATGGATCATTTGATGAAAGGACTTAAAAATATAGAAAACTTCACTTTTTTCCTTCATCAGATAAACCCAAGTAACTCGGGAGTAGTCATCAATGAATGTGACAAACCATTTAGCACCTGACAGATTAGTCACACGAGAAGGGCCCCGAACATCACTATGAACAAGAGCAAAAGGAAATGCACTTTTATTAATGCTTAATGGAAAAGGTACCCGATGATGTTTAGCAAGTTCACAAGTTTCACATTGAAATTGAGAAACATCAACAGTAGAAAATAAAGAAGGAAACAATTTTTTTTAAATAATAAAATAACGGATCGTCAAACCAAATAGGGGTGGGTGTAGGTATCGAGCTACAAACTCCCGAAGGCACAAGCCTGCACCAGGCATTGAAACTCGAATTTGAGGCCATAAACAATGAAGTGGAATACGAAGCATTGTTAGCAAGATTAAGACTGGCCAAGGAACTCAGGGTCAAAAGCCTGTGTGTCTTTAGTGACTCGCAACTAATCATGAAACCAAGTACTACAACACCAAAGATAACACAGTGGAGGCCTACTGTTCTGCTATCGAGCGAGAAATAAAAGGATTCGAATAGGTTAAACTCAAGCAGATACCCAGGGAAGACAACCTTGAAGCCGATCAGCTCGTTTACAATGCATCCATCTCTGGCGAAACATTAACTAGGGTGATACCAATAGATGTACTACATCAGCCATCCATACTTGTAATGGCATCCAGCTAGAAGTTTGACCAGATACAAGTGTGTGTAATACTGTATGAGCCTACATGGATCGACCCGATCATGTCATATATAAGGGACGGCGTGTTGCCCGAACAAAAAGATGAAGCAAGGAAAGTACAAACCAATGCAGCAAAAATTTCCTTGCTTCATCTTTTTGCTGCATTGGTTCACAAGTAAAGAAATACAGGATCCAAGCCCAAAGCAGTCTCGATACCCTCCCAAGTGTGCTCCTGGTCATCCTCAGGATTGTCTCCACAAGCAGTGGATTCCAGGTCAACCACATTCTGCGAAGAAGCAGAAGTTTGACCATCGGGGATCTGACTGGACGCGACCTCAACTTATGGGGGAGGGACTGCCACAATTGAACTGATAGGATGGGCAACAGAGATAGGAGGAATGATCCCAGAAGCAACAATCTCCTTGCACTCTCTAAAGACAAGCTCAGCCTGATTGAAAGTAGGATCAGAGTAAACCCCCAGAGGATTGATCTGAAGATCACAATCGCAATCATCCAGATCATCATAAGACTTCCCCGTCCTTCAGGAGGGGAGCAATCTGTAAACCCATCCCTATACCTTTGGACATACCTGACTGTTAGAATTAGTAATTATGGTATGAATAGGTTGTGCAGATTTTACAGCTCACTAGATGGGGAGAAAACGTGTATTACAGCTTTGTATATGTCCTATAATTAGAATGTATATTCTGCTAA